GGTATTTTGTTACCTATGACTGAACTAGGCATCCTATTTATCAAATATACTGCTGCTAAAACACAATGACCCCAGTATTTGATTGGAATTTGAGCTTGAAATCTAAGAGCTCTGGTTACTTCAAGTATATGTCTATGTTTCCTCTCAGCTACTCCATTTTGCTGAGGGGTATAGACACAAGTTCTATGATGAGTAATTCCTAAGTTTTTAAACATATTATCACACATTGAGTTTAGAAATTCTGTGCCATTATCAGTTCTTATAATTTTTACTGTCTTATCAAACTGGTTTTTAACATAAGTAAGGAAATGTTGCAGAGATAGAAACACATCAGATTTCTATTTAAGTAGAAATATCCAAGTCATTCTTGAGTAGTCATCAATAATTGTAAGAAAATATCTATTACCATCAAATGTATTCACTTTGTAAGGTCCCCACAAATCTGTATGTATCATGTAGAAACAGTAGGTACTTTTAATACTACTAGAATGAAAAGGTAATCTAACTTGTTTAGCAAAGGGACATACAGTGCATTTGCTGATTTTTTCTCTAATGACTGGTAAGCTAGTATGTAAAATTTTTTGTAATCCTATGGTAGATATGTGACCAAGTCTTCTATGCCATAGATCCACATCTAGCTGCTTGTTTAGATTTTTAACTTCTGAGGCTGCTAATGCAATCCTTTTATTCTTCTCCATTATTTGTCTTAGTAAAATGTAGAGTCCATCTTCTTCCTTACCAATCTCCCTCACCTTCCCGGTGAAGAGATCCTGGAAGAAGCAAAAATCAGGGAAAAAAGTTGCTGAACATTTTAGTTCCTTAGTAGCCTTAGACACAGATAATAGATTAAATTTGAATTGTGGCACATGAAATACATTAGATATTGTATTTTTATCTGATAAGGTACTTGCCCCTATGTGTGTGACTTGTGTTATGTCACCATTTGGTAAGAAAACCTTTTTTGGTTTTTCAATTTCAGTTATTGATGATGTATCTAACATGTTAATATCAGAAACCATGTGATTTGTAGCTCCAGTATCTATAATCCAATCATAAGATTCATCAGACACTATTAGGGCTTTAGGAGTACCTGTCAAATTTGCTGCAGATTTGTCTGATGAAGATATTGAAATCTTGTTTAACTTTTGGACAATTTGATCATATTGATCCTTGGTGAAGGTGTAGTTTCCTAACTGATTTCCAGGAGCATTGTCACATGATAAACCATATGCATTTGGTTTTTGATCGACACCATTGCTTGTATTTTGTTCTGCTACATTTGTATTCACCCCATAGTTGAATGTCATAGTGTTATTCTGATCCATCTGAGAGTTGTCTGTGAGTACATTAACTGCATTTGCACTATGATTAGGATAGTGAGTCCCAGAATTTTTCTTCTTGAACTTGAAATCTGCAGGGTACCCTACAATTTTGTAGCAATTTTCCTTACTATGTCCTTTAAGTTTACAGAAATCACACTGTATGTTGTAATTTTTCTTGAACCTTTGAGTCTGATTGTTGCCATTGCCATTTCTTGAGTACATAGCCATATCATACCCACCAGTAATCACATTGGAATTAGCTCCTAACACACCAGACACAGCTGCAACTGATTTTTGACTCTCATCACTAACTATCATTGCATACGCCTGATTTACAGTAGGTAGGGGACTACGCATTAAAATCTGACTTCTGGCCTGTCAATATGAATCATCCAGCCCCATCAAAAATTGGTACAACTTCAGTTTTTGTAGATATAACACAAAATCCCTTGATTTTTCACAATCACATCCAGGAGCAGGAACTAGTGCCTCAAATTCTTCCCACAAATCTTTCAACCTTGAAAAATATACAGACACTGAGGCATTCCCTTGAGTTAAAGTTGCAATTTCTTTGTGTAGATTGAAGGTTCTTGACCCATCAACCTTATTAAATCTTTCTAATAAGTCTTCCCAAACAGCTTGAGCACTAGAAGCATACATAATTCCTCCTAATAGCCCCTTAGCAACCGAATTCATAATCCAAGATAGAACAATTGCATTTACCCTTTCCCAGTGATTTCCCATAGTTATTGGAAAATTTTCTTTCTTGCATGTCCCGTCGACCATGCCTAGTTTGTTTCTACCTAACAATGCTACTCTCATTGACCTATTCCAGATGGAATAGTTCTCAATTCCAGTCAGCTGAAAAGAAATTATTTGAATTCCACTTACATCGGCAGGTGACAGGAACAGCGGATGATTATAGTCCAATCCTGCAATCGAGTTTCCAGGATTTTGAGTACTCTGCTCTCTTGTGCCCAGATTTGCAGGATTTCCCCTTGACTGCTCATCAGTGATAGCCACGGATTCTTCACCTTCAATAATCAGATTTTTCTTCTAGTATTGTAACTATGTGTTGATCGATTTACAAGATTCGATTCCACAGCTTGTACGGCTCTGATACCACGTTATAATTCAGCTAAAAACACAGTGAATACAAATGAGAAGTATGAAGAAGAAGAAGATGAATTAGAGAGAAGTATAGAGAATTAGAGAGAGAGAATAGGCGGAGGTTTCTATGTTATTCATTAACTGAAAATCAAGAAGAAACTTAACAACTAATACATACGTGTTAGTTTAAATATACTAACAGACTTAACCCCTAATTATGAAAAGACTAAACTACCCTTTTTTATATTTTAACACTGATACCCATTTAGAACACCCATTTTTGCAATAAAATGAGAAGCAATAGTACTCGTAAGAAAAATTTATTGGTTCTAAAGAATAGTTTAATTTATTATATAGAACACAATTACAAATAAAAATTTATTTGAATTGGAACTGGTAAATGTTTTGAAGAGAGGTGATAATACAGTAACTATAAATAGAAAGTTTACTTTGAAAACAAATGGTCCCGTAGCTCAGTTGGTTAGAGCGTTGGTCTTATGAGCCGAAGGTCGCGGGTTCGAGCCCCGCCGGGACCATATTCTCAAGCTGGGCCCATTTGTTTTTTTTCTGGGGGGCTGTACGGGCTGGGAGTGGGCCCGCTTCTTTATGTTTTTATTGCATATGCCACATTTACACTTTACAGTATTGCAAAATGATCTACTTAAAAATTAACCAACTAAGCCAAATAATAAGAATAACTAAGATTATGACAGATACTAATGTTCTTGTTTTGATGATTGATAGCATTCTTTTGTGGGTTGAATTAATATAATCACCTTACTTTTTTTGTGCTTGATTGATGATAGTGAGTATTCTTATCTCAGTCGAAATGATAGGATTGCCCTCTTAAGTTATTAAAATTATGCGAGATCTTTATACAAATAGATCACTATTTACTTTTCCTAATTAATTTATATAAATTATATACTGAATATATACATATTATAGTTAAGCAGTTGGTTGGTCGTCTAAAGGTTGATTCTTCAATTATTATTTATTCCTCTTTTTCCACTCATTTTTATTGCCAACTCTTGAGTTTATCAAATTGTTGACATAATTTGTCTCCATTATTTCAGTACTACCCTACTGAGCTTAATGATTGATGTCGACTGTTTGAAAATTTGCATTAGCTTCAAAGCTTTAATTTGATATCATATCATGAGTATTCTCTTATTCTTTTAAGCTTTGACTTTTCAATAGTTGGCAATTTTATAAACATTTTCTTCCTTTTTAAAGACCTTTTTTTAGAGTAAAGTGGGCACATAAATAGAAAAGAAAGAGAATTTTTTGTGGGATCGAGAGCTTAAACCTTAGGGCAAGTAACACATCTGATCAATCGGGAAAAAATAATTATATTCGCTAGCCAACATATAAAAATATATATTGATTGTGTATAAAATATGCACATTTTTTGTATGTTAAATATTAATATATAAAAATATATTTTATGTCTGCTCTTATTTTTTAGCGTGGTTATATTGTATAGCTTTCCCTTAACCAAGGGCGTTTGATTCACATACTAGTTATGCAATTATTATAATATAAAAATCTTTTATAGAATGTTTAATTATGAAAAAACTCTTATGCGATAATTAATAATAAAAAATATTATTTATATATGAATTACTTACTTTAAAAGGATATTTAATTTGGAATCATTTTAGGAGAGAAAGGCCTTCCCAATTAAAGCCATATTGTAGGCTGTTGGTTAAGCAGTAGTTGTAGCAGTGTATTCTTGACTTGACTACAGAAATAAAAATTTGATTGAGTTGTTAAACCCCTTTGATTGAGGGAAGAGTAAGTTTTTCCTAATACATAAAACCTGATTTTATATTCTATGGTTCTTTTCACGTTCAACTTCTTTTATAATTTGTTTGGATGGTTGTTAAATATTCTCATAATGTATTGTGTTTACTGTATTGTTTTGATGAATATAACATTTGGATAGATTGTATAGTATATCGTCGGTTTGCGATATCATGCACCAGCAATATGAAAATTAAATTTGCAATATTACAAAGAAAAAGTAGGGTAAGAGATAAAAATTATTATATAGTTGAAAAAAAAAAGATAAATGATAATAATATGATTATTTAATAATAAGAAAGGGCAACATGAGTAAAAAAACAAGGTAACAACGTGACCACATCAAATGAGTCGTTACATAAATTGGTATTTTTCGTATATTTAATAATACGATATAATAAAATTTATGTAACAATCAAAACAAACATTATAATAACAATACAATACGCAACAACAATCAAGCTGTTAGAAAAAATACTAATCTGTTGTCAAGCTGAGGGACCATAAACACATTGACAAAATGTATAATACCAAACCTTCCCCCCCCCCCCACCCCCACCCCACCCCCACCCCCGCCCCCACACACACACATATTTCTGAAGTATTTCTTCTCTTCCACTGATACTATTTTACAATTGCTGTTACTATCATTACTATTCTCTTCTCTCACTCAGTTTTCTTTAGTATTTTCAAGATACCCATTTGATAACAAGGGCTTGTTGCTACTACTATATGTCAATGTTTCCTCTGTGGTATGTTCTTTTACCCACAATTTAATTATTTCAATTGTTGTACCTTATCATAGATTTATATGCCAAGTGAAAACATAGAGAACTTATTTTTCACTTTTGTTTTTATTTGGTGTAATAACGATATGAGTTGAAGGGGAGCCTTGGTTTAACTCGTAAAGTTACTGCCATGTGATCAGGAGGCGACGAGTTTGAGCTGTAGAAACAGCCTCTTGCAGAAATGCAGGTCAAAACTGCATATAATTGACCCTTGTGTTCCGGTCCTTCCCCGACCCCACGCATAGCGGGAGCTTAGTGCATTGGCTGCCCTTTTAATAATGATATGAGTTGACCTTAAACCGAGAAACATGGTCTCGACTTGTTTGTGATTGAGGCGTAGTATGAGTTGACCTTAAACCAAGAAACATAGTCCCGACTTGTTTGTGATTGAGGCATAGTAGCTGTTGTTGTAATAGTAGTAGTAGTAGTAGTACGTTTCAAGTTTGTATTTTTATGTGCTCTTGTTAGTTTCTGGTGTAATTATATATCTGAGTACTCTTTGTTTGACAAAAATTCTAAGAGAAATGCCTCATTTGTGTGTTGATGAAATCAACAGTAGTGCTTAGCTCATTGGATTATTAGCTCTGCAGAAATTGTCTTCTCTTTTATTTTAGACTCGGGGCGGATTTACATAGTTGGCAATGGGTGGGATTGCACCGCGATTAGTTCAACAACAACATACCCAGTAAAATCCCACTATGCACCACGATTAGTTCAAATTCTATATATGTGTGTGTGGTTAAGAAATTCTTAAAATTATATTTTTATACAAATTTGACCTTTTCTCCTAAAAAAGTAGTGGGTGCGGTCAGAGAGCTAGGTGTTGGTGAGGGATTCAACTGAATTTCCTTCGCGGAAAATTATACTGCTCAAGTAGGGAAAAATGAGTTTCTTTTTTGTTATATATAAAAGATCTTGAGTCCTTGAATGGGAGCTTTGGAGCAATGGTAAAGTTGTCTCCGTATGACCTATAGGTCAGGGGTTCGAGCCGTGGAAGCAGCAACTAATGCTTGCATTAGGGTAGACTGTCAACATCACACCCCTTAGGGTGTGGCCCTTCCCCGGACCCTGTGTGAATGTGGGATGCTTTGTACACCAGATTGCCCTTTTAAAAAAATCTTGAGTCCGCTTGGCATAAGAGAATATTCTAGTGTACTGGCAAAAGGAGTTCAAAAGTTGCTTTGCAAAAGGAGTTCAAAAGTTGCTTTAAGTTATATGTTCAAATCATAGGTGTGACATTCTAGTGTAGTGGCAAAAGGAGTTCAAAAGTTGCTTTAGGTTACGTGTTCAAATCCTATTTCTAGTATTTCTTTTTTGAATCTCCATTATATGTAGTCTTAGCTCCGCCACTGGGTGCATTGATACTCATACTTGGATCCGTCTCTGCTTACGGAGTCTTCTACTACCTATTTGGAGCTTTTCTCAATGGACCCCTAGTGTTATATGGAGTAATGCATGTTAGATCATGGATTCCCCTAGACCGTAGATAGATATTAAGCAATACTTGATCAATTTTTGTGAGGATACACTTATTCTGACTACAATTATGAATAGGTCTGAGCCAATTAGGTATTGCTACATGGTTATATTAGTTTGACCCGGGGTCTATCGGAAACAACCTCTCTACCTTCACAAAGGTCGGGGTTAGGTCTGCGTAGATCCTACCCTCCCAAGACCCTACTTTGTGGGACTACACTAGGCATGTTGTTGTTGTTGGTTATATAAGTTTGACGTACAAGGAGCTTTGTGCCTAGGACATGGAGTTCTGCGTATATGAGGTGATTTCTACTTAGAACTGGACATTGCGGAATTTGAAAGGTTACTCCTATTTGGGTTGGAAAATCACCTTTGCATTTGCTTGACAGTCAGTGTTTCTAAGACCATCTTTTGCTTGATTGTACATCATAAGACGATGATTGCTAGTTGCTAGCATAAGATTTTCATTAAGCAGTAGTTAATTTGTTACATATTTTCTGCTGATAGATGCAAGGTGTGGCCGTGTGGGATTATTAAGTATATTTGTTTTGGTTCATGTGCTGTATAATCTATCAATTGAAAATTTGATTATGATGAAAAATTAGAGGAAATAATTTGCTTCCCTATAATATAACATGTGCTAGGCTGGGTAGCTTTTTATTGCAGAACATTGGCTTTAGATTTTCTGCGTAGTGATTGAAAATAATGGATCTGCGAATATAATAGCTTGATTTTTGGAATAAATAATCACATGTCAATAACTCTTTCCAGTCGGTCTTGTCGTTGTGGAGAGTGTACAACAACAACTACGTTTGGATTCCAACTTCCAAACTAGTCGAGATCGCCTACATGAATCCTCACTATCCATTCGCTCCATTTGTAGCTTTAGAGATTGTAGTCCTGCTTAATCTCCCAGCTTCCTGCCTACGCAAAGTGAGAAGTAAAACAAATCAAAGTAAATACATGTAAACAGCTGAGAGTTGCCGACTACTTAATTTTCAATTTTTTTGGTTCAAGTCACATTTCCATGTGTAAAAGTTGTATTTGAAAGTCCAAATCTCCTTCCTAATGCACAATCATTTGAAATATATTCATTGTCTTCTATCCTCTGATTCAAGTATATATTAGCCGTGGCATATGAAAAGTAACAAACTTCATAACCAGGGGCGAAGCTACATTCTCCTATGGGTGGTCAATTGACCACTCTTTGTCGAAAAACTACATTGTGTATATAGGTAAAATACTAAGTTTTAGAGGTATATAATATATATATATATAGAATACCCTTTGTCGGGGAATTTTTTTCACTTCTTTCAAGTTCGAATACACTTGTTCATAACTAATACTCTTTCCTTTTCAATTTGTTATGCCCTGCAGAGTAAGATACATATAACAAGCATCTGCAATGGGTTCTGGATACTGTCTTAAAAATGTAATCAGTTTGAGAAAAGCAAAAGATGACAGATCGAAAAGATTAAGGTAAGCTTCCCTAGTTGTTACTTGTATCAACATTTCTCCTTTAACTAGACAAGATCAATGCGATACGTAGTTTTTTCTTGAGACAGGGAACTTCTATTGGACGCAAGGGGGACGACAACTCTCAGAAAGAGCGTTCAAGAAGAACAAGTGGCGCTTCTATCAAAAATCACAGGGAACTGGAAATGCCTCTTGAGGATAAAGCGGCCACAAAGATTCAGACAGCTTTCCGTGCATATGTGGTAAACACACAGTGTGCACTAAGATTAAAGCAAATAGTCGTTAAAGTGAATTCCTTTTCTGATGTCTTTTCCTTGAAAAGAAAAATGTTTTAGGACATAATCCAATTAAGGAAGCACATACTCAGGCAATTGATATTTGTTGCTTTCTTTTGTATCTTTTCAGTAGGCGTGTCACAGCTTAAGTTTGTCGCCACCTGATCAACCCGAAAAGTAATAAAGAAAAAGTAGGATTGCGAAAATTAAATGCAGTTCACACTAAAGTATTTTTGCCATATTGTAAAGTAGGATTACACTCTTGAAGGGAAACAGAGAATTTATCCATTAATATTAAGAATAATGATTGATGTATTAGTGAAAAGAAAGCAATGATGTTGGGTGACTCAAAACCTGCATAGAGACTCTTAGCCAGGGAATGAATCTACTCGAAAAAATGTTGCATATAGGCAGCCTGGTGCACTAAGCTCCTGCTATGCGCTTCGCCGGACCACAAGGGTCTATTGTACGCAGCCTTATCATACATTTCTGCAAGACGCTGTTTTCATGGCTCGTACCCGTGACCTCTTGGTTACATGAAGGCAACTTTACCGGTTACGCTAAGGCCTCCCTTCCAAAAAATGCTGCATATATTTGAATTTTTTCCCCTCAATAAAGAGATATGAGTGTATTGTTCAATGTAGTGGGATGGATATTGAGGATTCATATAGCCGATCACGACTAGTTTGGTATGGAAGTGCACTTCTTGTTGTTATTTATTCTGAATGTATTCTTCAAACTTTATATTGGTTTCTATTTGTGTTATCTTGCAATATAAAGTTGTTTTCTTAGAGAGTTTTCCAAAGAAATTGCTACTTACTCTTTTCTTTAAGTTGAATAGATTTTTTCTACCTTTTCAGGCAAGGAAAACTTTACGTTCCTTGAAACGAATATCAAGATTACAGTCTATGACACAAAGCTCTTCAGTGAAAAAACAAGCTTCAGCAGCTTTAAGCAATCTCCATTCATGGAACAGGATACAAACTGAGATTAGAGCTCGCCGTGTTAGTATGGTAATAGAAGGGCGTCTGAAGCAGAAGAAGCTGGAGAATCAATTGAAGCTAGAAGCAAAGCTTCATAACGTAGAGGTTAGAATTAGCTGTTTTCTTAAGTTCTGCTTTCATATTTGCTTTATATCATGACTCATGAGTAGTTTACCTTAACAAGTTTTCTGCATAGGCTTGGCCCTGAATTATGTAGTACTCGCTCCGTCCTATTTTCTGTGATGGTGTTTGGCATGGAACAGTGTTTAACGAAGAAAGAAAGATTTTTAGAACTTATGGTCTAAAACAAGCCATAAAAATTTGTATGACTACAAATTTCATTAAGGCTAAAATGAGAATGTTTAAGTTAAATTGTTTCTAAGTATAGATATGCGTCATTTTTTCCTGGACAAACTAGAAAGGAAAGAGTGTCACATAACCTGGGACAAAGAGAGTATTAAGTTTTCGTTACTTCATTAACATGAGTGAGTGACTGACAGGTAGAGTGGAGTGGTGGCCCTGAAACAATGGAAGTTGTTCTAGCAAGAATACACCAGAGAGAAGAAGCAGCAGTGAAGCGGGAGCGAACTATGGCATATGCATTTTCTCATCAGGTACGTTAAATTTGATATGATTCTCTAGATTATATACTTTTTACATTGTCATTTCAAAACAAGAATCATCATTGATTGACATATTATTTCACAGTGGAGGGCCAATTCCAACCCAATATTCGGATCAAGTAACCATGATATCAGCAAAGCTAACTGGGGCTGGAGCTGGACGGATCGTTGGATTGCTGCTCATCCGTGGGAATGCCGAATTCCTGTTCAATCAACTCCAAAAATGGCCAAAAGGATAGCAAGGAAGACTCCTAAAAGTAACAAAACTCAAACAATAAAAACGCCAGTTTTTGTTAAATCAACTTTTGCTAATCAGAAACGCACTATAAAGCCTCGAAGGCTATAGTACGAAGCAGCTGATAAATTGACTGCAGAGAAAGGAATCAACAAAGTTGACGCAAGCATTGAAAAACAGGTGATGGTATCCTAAAAGCAACTGAAAAGAAGATAACATGTTCGAGCTAAGACGTGTTTCCACAGTTCGGCTGAGGTTGATGGCGAAAAACTTGAAGTTGGATGTGTTTGAGCGGTGAAATTTGAGAGTTTTTCCTCTAAATTTCCAAGTTCTTACGAGCTTATGTATATTTAAGAAAATAAGTTATTTCTCGGTTATAATGTGTATAGATAAGTTATAGTTCATTTGAATCGTTCTTTTATAGGTTCAAAGGTCAGAATATTCAGTTTCTATGTTCCTTTGTTGTTTTTGTCATGAAATATTTTGGTCAGAACATCTGTTTTGTACATGATGTAAAAGATATTGCAGAGTGTTTTTGGTATAGTAAAATCTTATTGCTTGGTAATTACATTGTAATTAGACAAACCATTGAATGTTTTCAGGTACTGTCACGCAGAGGCGGAACCAGGATTTAAAGCTTATGGGTTCGATGTTCTAATTCTTTTATGTTACTGAGTTCTAAACTAATAACTTTTACATATTCAATGAATTTTTTAAGATAAATACAAGATAATTACTGGGTTCGACCGAACTCGTATGCGATATGCTGGCTCCGCCCCTGCTGTTACGTGTATCCCATGTTGGTTTCATATGTGAAATTCAAGTTTTAAAGAAAAGGATATTTTGTTTAATTGTTGTTTGGAAAGTATACAAATACTTAATATTTTGTTTCACTTAAGCATGTGTTGAGAAAATGAACCTCGAACATAGCTCAAGTCCAAAAGTCCGAGCTGAGTATTGTTTAATATTATCATATATAGACGTCATTTGAGTCCATTACTCAAATGGTCACTCAACTATCCCAAATTATCTCCTAAAGTCACTTTTGTTTCGTTTGTAACAACAAAGTCACTGAACTATGCATATTGCACACAGAAGATCACTCAACTAGATTTTCCAAATTTTGGATTGCCAAATACCTATTTTACCCTCTAAATTATAGACATTTATCTTCTTTTTATTTTTTTAAAACTTTTTAATATTAGGATTTTTCCTTTTTAATTTACATTATTGACTTACCTATAGAACAAATAAATATTATTTATAAATTAAAAAAAGTATTTAAGCATATATAATGCTGGAATAACAAATTAATGAGCATAGTAGAAAATTAATTAGAATAATTTGTTAGTAATAATAATTTTAGTATTAACAATAAAAATTCAAAAATTTATCCACAATTCATAATGAAAGAAAATAAAGGTTGTAAAATATATATTTCATGCACGTAATATAAAATAATTCTTTAAATAAAGGTATTTTTATAATTTACATAATATATTTTTGAAAATTATTCTCAATTATATTATATATATTCCATGCACGACTTAACATAGCATATTTACCCTATACAGATAGTCCCCCTGCTTTCGGGTGACATAACTTTGTGTCGTCGGAAAGTTGGTAGAAACATAATAATATATTTGAGCATAATTTTCAAGAATATATAATGTATATTATAAAAATACCTTNAGAATATATAATGTATATTATAAAAATACCTTTATTTATATAATTATTTTTATATTACGTGCATGGAATATATATTTTACAACCTTTATTTTCTTTCATTTCGAATTGTGTAAATAAATTCTTGGATTATTGTTGTTAATATTAAAAAAATATTAAAAAGAAGATAAATGTTTATAATTTAGAGGGTTAAATATGTATTTTGCAATTCAAATTTTGGAAAATCTAGTTGAATGACCTTCTGATTGCAATAGGCATAGTTCAGTGACTTTGTTGTTACAAACGAAAGAAAAGTGACTTTAGAAGACAATTTGGGATAGTTGAATGACCATTTGAGTAATTGACTCGACGACACTTCATACCTTCAACCAGTATGGGATTCTAACCGCGTGCATAACCTTAAACATTTCAGCGTGAACGTTTGCATGCTAATTTCCATGTCCATGCCGATCTAGCGTGAGATGGATTCAGGATTTAAGGTTTATGGTTTCCTACAATGACTTCAAATTAAGATTATAATAATAACTGAGTTCGGTGCCACAAATTTATTGACAATTTTGTGAATTTCTTAAAAATAAATATAATGTTTGAACAAAAATTACTAAGTTCACGTGAACTCATAACCAGTAACACATTAGATCCGCCCTTGCATGTAGCATAACTACTAATCTACTATATGCTTCAATTTACCTATATCGCATCGCCGGTCGTTCGCTGACACTTGTCACATCATATTAATTTCGTTCAACACAAATACCCATCACAATGCCTATTATTTTATGGGAGTCCTACATGTTTGTTGAACAATCAATTTTTATATATACATAAGGCTTCAAATCATAGTCATACGTATCGTGTGAGCTAGAATACCTAGGATAAGATCATTGAGTATCTCGACATTATGTCCTTGAATGGTCATGATACTAGGAATGTACGCAGTAAATCTTTTTTTTTTAAGTTTTTATGTTTTTATTTTTATTTTTTAATTTTTTATAGTAGAACTCTGCCTAATATTTTAGAATTTTTAATTAAACTACTCAAATCTTTATATATGTTCGTAAAGTTTTTTACAACAAGAACCAATGTAGCGTATTGAAACAAATGGCTAATATCTTGTAACTTAAAAAGAACCTTTACCAATATACATATTACTACTAACAACTGTGAGCACCTAATTTTTGACCCACATAGGAAATTACTCCTAAAAAATCTCAAAAAATAGCTTTTAATTATTTTATAGAATTTTAGAAATTTTTCAATATTTTACTTGATTTGTTTCATACGTATTTGTGTTTGGTGCATTTTTAGAAGCATTTTAAATCTTAAAAAATAACAAAAATATTTTTAATTTTTGCATTTTTAGATTTTAATAGTATAATTAGTTGTATTTATTAAACTCTAAAATATCAAAAATACATTAGTAACTTTGCATATTTCTGTTAGCTAAATGAATTAGTTAATTGTTAGAAAATAGGTCATTAGGCTAATTTTGCAAATTAGTTGGAATTAGGAGTGTTAAATAAATGGGGGATTTGCAGCCGTACCCTATATTTATGCCACCTTTTAACCTGCACCCTATTTTTAAAAACTATTTATTTTGTAGCCAACTAACAAAAAATCCGTAATAATATGACATTTATACCCCTTCCAAAACATATAAAAGATGCATCACGCATAAATCAATTTACGGTTCTCCTCCATCACTCCGTTTCTCCTCAGATCGCCTCTCGCAAACCAGATTTGAACCAGATTCAAATTTCAAATTCAAAATTACAAAATACATTGCGAGTATTCAAATTCATCTTCAGAATTCAAAATAGTTTTTGAAACTGATTGATTTGATGATATATGTTTTCTGATTGATTTCACGATTCATCTTCACTGATATGCTGAATTTGCATTCTAAATCTGATTCACGTTGAATTCTAACATTCTAATCCGACAAATTCAAATATGCTAAAGTTTTCCACTGCATAATATGCGGAAATTTTTGTCAGATGAACAAAGCAATAAGAAGCAGAAATGGGGGAAACGGACCGGTAACTCATGAGACGACCGGCCGGGTCGTCACACTAAGTCCCACACATAAGCCTAGGGGTGTTTTAAGAGTGCTTCGCCCCGGGGCGAGCCCCGGGCGAGTCCCAGTTCTGCCTTTTAAATCAGAGGCTGAAGGTTTTGTTCAATATTAAATTGTAATTTATGTTTTTATTATTACCCAGTGTAGGAAGAAAACTTCACCTCGTTCAGCTGAAGTTTTTAAAGATTAACTAAAAAACTTCAGCACTTTATGCTGAAGTTTTTGTGCAATATTAAATTTTAATTTATGTTTTATTTTTGCACAGTGCATCTATGTTTCAGCTCGTTTTCCTAAAATTTTTACATATGAACTAAATAACTTCAGCTTGATTAAACTACAAGACAAATACTTCAGCATACGTAAAAACTCAGCTTGTTTAGCTTTCACCCATTTTATTAATGTTAGTGCAATCTAGTTTTGAACGTGATGATTCTGAAGAAGTGCCGTAATACTCGGTGTTTTCAATTGTCTCAAAAATAAAGAAAAGTAAAAACACCTAGAGCCCGTTTGGACATGAGAAAATTTTTTCCTTTTTCCAAAAAAATTTCATTTTATTCCGAAATCAGCGGTTGTTCATAAAATTTTCAATTTTCACTTGAAGATGTATTTTGGAAATTTTGAAAAACTCCAAAAAGTTGTTTTCCAAAATTTTCACTCAAATCATTCACAAAACTTCAAAAACAACCCAAAATTCTATTCATGTCCAAATACATCTCAAATTTCAAATACCATTTTCACTCGAAAATTTTTTTCACCCTTTTTTGAAATTTTACAATTCATATGTTCAAACGCCCGCTTAATTTCTTACTCGCAAACTACAGTATTTTCTTTTCTTCTGTGTTTTCTCCATAGTTAAGTTAATTCCCATTCTACTTTCAGATTTTATCAATAACTATACTAAAATAATGTAGATCAGTGTTAGTATTGGAATGTGAAGGTCTTGCCCAGGATACATGACAGGCGTGGCCGCGGGGGATGTGTTTGTACATTAAAACAATAGAAATACTACAACTTCTTAATTATTCTTAAATCACCAACTTTAACTCAATATATATAAATACAAAGGTTAGAGCAGAATGGACCTAGACAACAGGTCTATATTTTCCTAACCAATGGAACTGGACTATTACAATCTGTTTGGATCATTGTTACCCGTCGTTTTATAATGTATTGTATGTTTGGTATTGTTGTAGGAATTTGAAGAAGAGAATTGGGAAATTTTTCTACAAGAAGACTGTGTATTTATACAAGTATTAACTATTTACAAAGAATCAGAAAATAAAAAAATAGCCTATGAATTATATATGCTTGTCCTATTTCTACTAGCTTAATTCTAACAATATAACTAACTATTATTCCTTCAGCATGTGGTCTTTGTGTGCATGTGAGAAGGATCTAGAATGTGACCATGCTTTGAACGGTTCAGATAAGATTCTTCATTATTTTGCTTGTTGGTTGAGATGATGTCACGTTGCCTATCACGTGGCTTTTCAAAGGATGGGCTAAGACCAAGTCTTAGCATTAGTTGTTTTGTCTAAGACCTTTAGTCCTTTCTTCTCTTCTTCTTCATCGATTCCTTTCTTCTCTTCTTCTATATCAATTCCTTTCTGAGATATCAAATGGTTAGACTAAGAGCGATGTATTCCAACATCCCCCCTCAAGTTGGATGGGATAGAAGATACCCCTAACTTGCCAAGAAACGGTCTGTGAAAAGGCCATGACAAGGGTTTGGTGAATAGATCGGCAAGTTGAAGTTTTGAGGGAATAAATGAGAGGGAGATGAGACCGAAAAGGAACTGTTGCCTAACAAAGTGGCAATCGAGTTCAACGTGTTTAGTTCTCTCGTGAAAGACGGGATTCCGGGCAATATGAATGGCCGCTTGACTGTTAGAAAAAATTGAAACCGAAATCGGAGGGGGAGCAGATAGATCTGTGAGTAGACAAGTCAACCATGTGAGTTCAGCCACCAATCGACGGATTGAACGATACTCTCCTTCAGCGGAAGAGAGAGACACAGAGGCTTGCTTTTTAGATTTTCAAGACACCGGTGAACCACCTAAGCCGATGAAAAACCCACTGACGGAACGACGACTATCACAGCAAGAACCCCAATCAGCATCACTGAAAGCCAATAGATCAAAAAAGGTCTGAGCATTGAGGAACAAACCCTGGCTGGGATTAGAGTGAAGATAACAAAAGACTCGCAAAGCTGCTGTGAAATGCCCAATGTAAGGGTGTTTCATGAATTGGCTGAGAATTAGAATGGCAAATGAAAGGTCAGGCCGCATGTGGGTCAAATAATTAAGCTTGCCAACAAGACGACGATAGAGGGAAGCATCAGATAAAGGAGCTCCAGAATTGGCAACCAATTTGGAAGATGGATCAAGCGGAGAAGAAACCGGTGGGAGAGTGGAGCAATCAATTTCAACAAGCAAGTCAGTGGTAATTTCCTTTGAGTGATAATAATTCCATCCTGCTCTCTTAAAATCTCCATGCCTAAGAAGTAGTGAAGAGGTCCAAGGTCCTTCATTTTAAACTCAGAATGTAGAAATGCTTGATGATCTAATAATTCACAAAAATTATTGTTTGTAATGAGAATATCATCAACGTATAAATCAACAATAGAAATGAGGTTCCCTGTTTGTTTAAAAAATAGGGAATAGTCGTTTAGAGAGGAAGAGAATCCCTTAAAACTGAGGGCTCCGGCAAGTCTGGCATATTATTGTCTAGAGGCTTGATTCAAGCCATTAAGAGACTTTTTAAGTCGACAAACATGGTTAGGTCTGGGGGAAGACAAATCAGCAGGGAACTTCATATAGACCTCTTCCTGCAACTCCCCATGTAAAAAGCATTACCCACATCAAATTGAGAAATAGACCACCCTTTCTTGACTGCAATAGAAAGCAAACATCTGATTGTTGTCATTTTGACAACTAGAGAGAAGGTTTCTGTGTAATTAATGCCTTCTCTCTGAACATCACCCCTTATAACTAGCTTGGTCTTTAACCTTTCAACAGTACCATTAGCATGGTGCTTGGCCTTGTAAACCCATTTACAAGGAAGTGCTTTCTTGCCAGAAGGTAAGAGAACAACATCCCAAGTGTGGTTCTCTTCCAAAGTTTTGAGTTCAGAATCCATAGCTTGGACCCATCATGGATTGGAACAAGCCTGAGTGTAACTGGTAGCGTCTGAAATAGTATAGCATGTGAATAAGATGTTTGTTAGAGGTAGAAAGTGCAGAAAAAGACAATGTAGGTGCTGAGGAAGGAGAGGAAAGGCAAGAGGTGGTGAGATTAGTGAGGTAGATGTTACCGCAAACATAGTCTTTAAAATAACCAGGCAGGGTTCCTATGTTATCTCTGTTTGATCTCCTAAGGGGAATTGGTGGGGAAGAAGAGATTGGAGAATGAGCAGGGGAAGTAGGAGAATGAGCAGGGAAAGTAGAATGTAGGGAACAAGTAGGATTGGTGTGAGGTGTGGGTGTAGATTATGGTGTAGGTGAGTGCTGAGGAGGAGTATCAGGAGCGAAATGACTTGGAGGAGGAGGAAAAATTAAAGGAGTCTGGACTAATGGAGAAGAGGAACCTAGTTTAGTAGAGGTGATATAGGTGAAAGGAAAAGTATGCTAAAAAAATGAACATCCCTAGAAACAAATAGTTTCTTAGTAGTCAGATCCAATAGTTTGTGTCCTTTTTGTCCAATAGGATAACCCATGAAAACACATGCCTTTGCCCTAGGTTCAAACTTTCCTCTGTGATGTGACAAGGTAGAGGTATAGCATAAACAACCAAAACATCTCAAGAAAGAATAGGAGGGTGCCTGCTCAAAAAATATTTCATAGGGAGTTTTACCTTTAAGCACCTTAGATGGGAATCTGTTGATCAAAAAAGTAGTTGTCAATATGCATTCCCCCAAATAAGATATAGGCACCTTGGACTGAAACAATACAGCTGTGGCTACCTCTAATAAATGTCTGTGCATCCTTTCTACAATACTGTTTTGTTGAGGAGTACCCACATATGAAGTCTGATGTAGAATTCCTTGAGATTGCAGAAATATAGAGGCAGCATTAGCTTTCCCTAATTCTAAAGCATTATCAGATATGATAATCTTTACTTTATCATTGAATTGTCTTTCCACCACGTTTAAGAAATATTTCAAGATAGAAAATGCATTGCTCTTTGTGCTTAACAAGTAAGTCCAAGTTGCTCTACTGAAATCATCCACAATGGTGAGAAAGTATTTATATCCATTATGAGTAGGAGTCTTATAAGGTCCCCATGTGTCAATGTGAATTAGATCAATGACTTGATTAGTTTTGATGTGACTAATTGGAAATGGTAATCTAGACTGTCTTGCTTGAGGACATATATCACAATCACAAATAGGAGTAGAGAGAAATGAAATGGAATTGATATGCTTCATTGCATTGAAAGGCAAATGCCCCAATCTTACATCCTAACCTTACATCAGATTCTGTTTTTGCTAAGATAGGAAAAGAAAAAGAAGCTGAAACTAAATTAGAAAAAGACTTCTTAAACAAAGATGTTGTAGCCTTTAAAGATAGGCTCCTAGACTCTATCACATTAGGCTATACTAAGTAAAGTCCTTCCTTAGCTTCACCAAAAACTTGAGGGCTCTTCATGAGAGGGCCCTGCAAAATGCACCCAAAAGAAGTTAAAACTAAGAGACACTTGAATTTTTGGCCAACTCTCCAACCTAGTTATTCAATTCAATCTACTGGCCTATTTTTATTTGATTCAGACGGTTGACCAATTGATTGAATTGGTTTGATGAAAGCTTTTGAGCAAACTGAGTGTAACGATCCGACCAGTCGTTTTGCTTTCTAGAATCCCGTTCCCCTGAATAAGACTTTCAGTACTTGCTTTAACTAATTTATGACTTGCGGGGATGGTTGGTTCGGGATTTGGAAGAGTTTGGGTTGAAATCGGAACACTTGGTTCCTTAAGGTTGGCTTAAAAGGCCAAGTTTGACTTCAGTCAACATTTTGAGTAAACAACCTCGGAATCCGAATTTGAAGGTTCCAGCAGGTTCGTATGATGATTTTGGACTTGGTCGCATGTCCGGATCGGGTTTTGGATGACCTGGGAGCGTTTTGGCGCCTAATAGTGAAAGTTGATTCCTTAAGGATTTTGAAGTTCTTTAAATTTGGTTTGGAGCGGGTTTTTGTGTTATCAAGGTCCAAATGGAATTCCGAGACTGGGAATGGATGCGTTATGTCATTTAAGACTTGCATGTAAAATTTGGTGTCAATCCGAGTAGTAGAAGTGTGTTTCATCACATTGGAAGTAGATTGAAGAACTTGAAGTTCATAAGTTTGATTCAATTAGTTTTAAGGGGTGATTCTTAGATTTAGCGTTGTTTCGGGCATTCCGAGGGTTCGAGCAAGTTCGTTTTATCATTTCAAACTTGTAGATATGTTCGGGCGGGGCCCCGGGGGCCCCGAACATCAATCGGACAAGGCTCGAGCTTAGTTGGAAATGTGAGAAAGGGCTGAAGCTTCAGGATTCTGTCATAACCGCACCTGCGGTTGGCCATTGGAGATGCAGCCATGGGTGGCTAGCCCAGGAGCCGCAGAAGCGGCCTATCTTTGAGAGTAGTGCTTCAGACCTTGCGAGAGCAGAAGCTATATGCTAAGTTTTCCAAGTGCGAGTTTTGGCTAGAGTCAATAGCATTCTTGGGGCATATTGTGTTAGGAGAGGGGATTAAAATGGATCCCAAGAAGATTGAGGCGGTTCAGAGTTGGCCACATCCTAGTTTTGTGACTGAGATCAGGAGTTTCCTGGGGTTAGCAGGTTACTACTGCCGATTTGTGTAGGGATTTTCATCCATTGCATCACCTCTGACTCGATTGACCCAGAAGGGTGCTCTTTTCTGTTGGTCCGATGATTGTGAGGCGAGCTTTCAGAAGCTCAAGATAGCTTTGACTACAGCACCGGTTCTTGTGTTGCCTTCCGCTTCATGGATGTATGCGGTATATTGCAACGCTTCACGTGTTGGCTTGGGATGTGTATTGATGCAGGAGGGGCGAGTTATCGCATATGCTTCGTGTCGGTTGAAGATACACGAGAAGGATTACCATGTGCACGACCTAGAGTTAGCAGCGATTGTTCATGCTCTTAAGATATGGCGGCATTATCTGAATGGGGTGTCATGTGAGGTGTATACTGATCATCGCAACTTGCAGCATTTGTTCAAGTAGAGGGATCTCAATTTGAGACAGCGTAGATGGCTTGAGTTACTAAAGGATTATGACATCACCATTCTTATCATCCGGGCAAGGTAAATGTGGTCGCGGATGCCTTGAGTAGGAAAGCAGAGAGCATGGGTAGCTTGGCATACATACTAGCATAGGAGAGGCCACTAGCTTTGGACATTCAGTCCTTGGCTAATAGACTTGTAAGGTTGGATATTTTAGAGTCCAGCCGAGTCCTTGCATGTGTTGTTGCTCAGTCTTCACTATTAGGGCAGATCAAGGCTCGGCAGTTCGAGGATCCGCATTTGGCAGTTCTCAGGGAGACGGTGCTACAGGGTAGTGCCAAGGAGGTTTCTATTGGCGAGGATGGTGTTCTGCGACTCCAGGGTCGCCTATGTGTTCCTAATGTCGATGGCTTGAGGGAGAGGATTCTAGAGGAGGCACACAACTCACGTTATTCAATTCATCCAGGTGCTGCGAAGATGTACCTTGACCTGAGGCAGCATTATTGGTGGCGGCGGATGAAGAAGGATATAGTTGAGTACGTGGCGAGGTGTATGAGCACCAGAGGCTAGGTGGCCTACTTCAGCAGATGTCTTTACCTGAGTGGAAGTTGGAGCGCTTTACTATGGTCTTCGTAGTTGGGTTGCCGCGGACATTGCGGAAGTATGATGCAGTTTGGGTCATTGTTGACAGGTTGACCAAGTCGTCACACTTCATTCCGGTTATGACTACTTATACTTCAGAGAGGTTGGCTCAGATATACATTTGGGAGATAGTTCGATTACTTGGTGTGCCTGTTTCCATCATATCAGATAGAGGCCCTCAATTCAATTCCTATTTTTGGAGAGCCGTACAGGGTGAGTTGGGGACCCGGGTAGAGCTCAACACAGCATTCCATCCGCAGACCGACAGGCAATCGGAGCGGACAGTTCAGATTCTGGAGGACATGCTTAGAGCTTGTGTGATTGACTTTGGAGGGCAGTGGGATCAGTTCTTGCCTTTGGCCGAGTTTGCTTACAACAACAGTTATCAGTCCAGCATTGAGATGGCTCCATTTGAGGCATTATATGGTAGGCGATGCCATTCTCCTATTGGGTGGTTTGAGCCTGGTGAGGCTAAGTTGTATGGTACATTTTGGTGAAGGATGCCTTGGAAAAGGTAAAGTTGATTCAGGAAAGACTTCGCACAGCTCAGTCCAGACAGAAAAGTTACATGGATCGGAAGGCGCGTGATGTATCATTCATTGTCGGCGAGAAGGTTCTTTTGAAAGTCTCGCCGATGAAGGGTATTATGAGATTCGGGAAGAAGGACAAGTTGAGCCCAAGGTTTATAGGCCCATTTGAGGTGTTGAGGCGAGTTGGAGAGGTTGCTTGTGAGCTTGTTTTACCCCCCAGCTTATCGGAAGTTCATCCAGTCTTTCACGTACCTATGCTTCGGAGGTATCACGCCGACTTGTCTCATTTGTTAGACTTCAGTACTATTTAGCTAGACGAGAGCTTGGGATATGAGGAGGAGCCAATTGCCATTATTGATAGACAGGATCCCCACAAGAGGATTTCTGCGGTAAAGGTCCAGTGGAGGGGCCAACCAGTCAAGAAGGAGACCTGGGAGTCCGAGGAGGACATGCGGAGTAGATACCCACATTTATTTAGCACTTTAGGTATGAATCTAAACCCGTTCGAGGACAAACGTTTGTTTAAGAGGTGAAGAACGTAACGACCCAACCGGTCGTTTTGCTTTCAGGAACCTCGTTTCCCTGAATAACACTTCCTATACTTGTTTTAACTGATTTATGACTTGAGGGGATGGATGGTTCGGGATTTGGAAGAGTTTAGGTTGAAATCGGAACACTTGGTTCCTTAAGGTTGGTTTAAAAGGCCAAGTTTGACTTCAGTCAACGTTTTGAGTAAACGACCTT